AGATTTGTACAGCTATTTCTGACATACCTTTTTGAAGGGTGCTCCACCAATCACTAGATGGGCCCCAATAGATTCTTGACAGATCCCCATTTCTTTTTTCTTTGTTCTCCCATGCCAGAAAAACTAGGAGGTTTGTCTGTTGCCAGAGATGATGCTAGGCTAGCCTTAAAGAGGGTGAGGCTGAGGTAACATGGTAGGGTGCCATTAAAAACAGTTTTTTTTAAAAAAAAGAAATCATATTCCTCATACAACTCAAAATAGATTTAATATGCTTTGTGTACTCATTTTCTATTAAAATGCTCAAAAAGCTCCACTACACAGAAAATGTTGACCCTTCCCTTACCAATGATACCCCTGTAGTCACTCTTATACCTCCCCCAGCCATTAGAGTTTTGGCTCAATTGTTTAAATTAGAAATTTCCCCACCTCAAAAAAACGTGTTAGGGGTAAAAGGTAATTGGCTTGTGGAGTTAAAATAGCACATAAATTCGTTGAAGATGTGGCATACTTAGCCAAATTTACAATTATCTAGACTAGAGGTAAATACAATCTTCAGTTCTACATAAACTGCTCTTAAAGTAGTTCAGACATGCATACACATAGATACTTCTTGCAAGCTTGGACTACTAGATGGTCAGTTTGAACTTTTCTTTAAAGTCATTTGATTTGGAGAGTCTTTGCAGATATAAATAAAAAAACAAAAATTGGAGCGCAGTGAAGCTGCTTCTGATTTTTATCAGTTTAGAGTGCAAATGAGAAGTCCTTTCCATTCTCCTTTCCATTAGCGATCCTTATATAAGCTTTCAACCTTGTCCTAGACTTGCTAGTTTTCTCTAGAATTAATGTTTTCTATGGAAGAACATTTAGTCAACACGAATTTCAGCACTTCAGTTATAGGCTTGAGACCATGGAGTAATAAAGCAGCAGAGGTAAGAGTGACATTGCATGATATATTTTGTGGGTGCAAATTGTTTTTTTCCCTAAGCCTTCATCCCAAGTAGACCATGGACATGTACAGAGCTAATTGGTTGCCATAGCAACACCCCTCACACTATCGTGTTAGTTTCCTAGGTGGGTTTAGATGCCTGTGGCATTGGCTTGACACATCTCTACTTCCTGACGCAGGCAGTGTTATTTCAGGAGCAGGTGCCATGCCACTGTATTGAATTATGGCCCCTGGCTAAATGGGTTATTACTGCAGTACAGTAGTTTTTTTTCTGAAAACAAGACTGTCATCATCTTCTTTATCTTGCTAGTTGCATTGGGGCAATATTGCTTGCTTACAAATATTTATCGGTGTGTGTCTCCAGCATGCATTTTCAAATATAATTCCATGCATTCAAGCTCACTTCATGAGAGTAAGCAGAAAATGGGCCAAAGGAGCCAAACCAAACATTTCTGTTGAAGCTAAGCATGGCTACCCTGATTAGTTTTAAAACAGATGTGGGGAAACTGCTTTTTCCACATATGCTGGACTCCAGCTTGCAAGATCCCTAAGCAGCATAGTCATGGTGAAAGATTCTTGGAGTTGCAGTTCAACAACATCTGGAGAGTAGAAACCCCTCGCAGATTTAAAGCACGTTTAAATCCCTTTTCATCAAATTCAGATTTTATGGTGGTATACAGTAAAAACTGCTCAGGCGGAGCCATATTTGAATCATTCTCGCATGTCATACAGCAGGGGTCCCCAACCCCCGGTCCATGGACCAGTACTGGGCCGCAGCATGCCAGCAACCGGTCTGCACAAACAAGCAAAACCTCATCTGCGAAATGCAGGCAGCACACAAAACCACGCACTCTCCGGTCCATGGAAAAACCTCTCTCCACGGAGCCGGTCCCTAGTGCCCAAAAGGTTGGGGACCTCTGTCATAGAGTAATTAATTTACACAATCATGCTGAATATTTAATTACCAAGACTAAATGATGGATTTTTGTAGAAATGAAGTAGATACAGACTTCACACAATATCCATGAAATTTTATGAATCAGTTTATATGTATGTTCTAGTATTTATAATGTACATTAAGCCCAAGGAGACCTCAATTTATATCCTCATATGGTTATGAAACTTCCTTATAGCCTTCTCTCAGGATAACTGGCTCAGGAATTCTGGGAGTTGAAGTCCACAAGTCATAAAGGGGCCATCATTCCCCACTCTTGATCTAAGATGGTAATTATGGAGGATGAACTAGAAGGGACAGGACTGTGTATATTACACAGAGTTCCATGAAAAAGGTGAGGTAAAAATTAATTCATCTGCGAGCCATCAGTTCTTGGTTCATATATGCATGAATTTTACTTGGATTTCTTCCCTCCCCATGGTTACATTAATTGATGGTTTTGGTCTGATGCACAGGGAAGTAAAACTGTGTATATGCTCTTTTATTCATAGATTCAACCAGTCATCAGACAATAAATAAACCCTAGACCTCAAATAAATATCTGTTTGTATGAATCTGGCATAGATCTGCATGCAATCATTCTACTATGTAGTCAGCTTGCAATGCAACCCATGTTTATTGTACAGAATAAAATGATATTGAGCTAGTAACTTGATTTGTTTGAAAAATCACACATATTCTGTAGCTGATCTCATAACTGCTGCTGTACACAGCTCAATCAATCTACTTTCTGACACAGAACTTGGATTGTGTAAATTTAGCCTTTATTCTCATCCAGATGATTGCATTTTCATACATACTCAATAAATATTAATGCACACAAATTAACACCTGGACCCATCAACAAGGATTTAATTTAAACCTTATTTCATAATGTCAACTCACTACTAGAACATAGGAGAAGAATATTAATGCCTTGTCTTTGCTTCAGATTTCAGTTTCTCTAAGCCCATCAGCTGCAGATAAATAAAGGCCATGTCTTTTTTTTAAAAAATGGTTGTACTCTGTGCTTCAAAAAAGAAAATATTTTGTTCATGATATTGGTTGGGGAGGGAAAGAGAGAATCAGTTTCAGTGCAAAAGCATTCAACTCACTTCAATATATGTCCTTAATTTCAGGGGGTGGTAGTTGCTTTTAGTGAAATTGAGGGACCTGCCACTTGCAGTGGCTTTTCACCAGACTGGATGCCGAATTTGGGGGGGAATGAATTTTGTGTGCCATATATAAAACGAATATGCAAGTTTTCTGTCATTTAAGAAACTATCCAGACCAGGCTGAAATGCTTGCTAATTACATGGGACTATTGGTAATGCAACTTCTGACCATCTTCAAATTGCATTGAAGTTGTCCCAACAGGGTTTACAATGAACACATATAGAGCAGATGTGCTATAAGGCACATTATTTATTGATTTGATTTGATTTGGGTGCCACCCAATTCCAGATCAACTCTGGGTGCCTCAAAGCATTAAAAGACAAAATAGCAAATACACTCAATACAAGTAAACTGTAGAACATTAAACAAGATGGTGGATCTGGCCAAAGATAGAAAAACACATATCACCCACCCAGCAGGGGGCACCAGTCACCCTAGCCCAGAATATGGGAAGTTTTCCAGAATACCATCTGGCTGAAAGACACCAAATTTCAGGAGGAACCTTATTCCAGAGGATAGGTACAGTACTGCAGTAGAGAAATCACACTTCTGAGGTCTGATAAATGACATTGCTTAACTTGAAAGAACTTGGAGCATGCCAACCCTGTTAAATCAGCTGGGCAGACACCAGGGGAGATAGGGGGTCCCACAAATAATCAGGCCCCATGCTACATAGGACTAAACAGATTGTAACCAGCATCTTGAATCCCATCCAGAAGCAGGCTGGCAACGAGTACAACTTACGAAGCAGGGCTGTCACGTGGCATAACACAACATGCTCCTCAGTGCTCAAACTACTGCATTCTGAATCAGTTGAAGCTTCTGAGTGGGCTTCAAGAGCAGCCCCACCTAGAGCATATTGCAGTTCATACAAGGAAGCTGTGTTACACATAAGGACCTGCACTGATTTTTGAAGCATAAAAGCATAACATGGAATTTAGTATTCATTTCAAATAAGCTTGGAGAATGCAGAGGGATGCAGTTAGGGTGGCTTCAGCTCTTTGACATTAAGACCATTAATACCTGGTTGTATAATGATGTACAGATATCCCATTGCATTTTGTGACTGTTTATATTGAAATAATGTTTTCTTGGTGATTTAGGATTTTTTAGTATTGGTATTGGTGATTGTTTTGTATGATTTTAACCCTGGTTATGAAGATTGCACATATATTGCTTAGAGTTGAATACAAGTGAAGCATTCTGTAAACCTGAAAAATAAATAAATGTCCCTCAATTAATTAGTTTTCAAAGTATGTATCATGGGGTCTGTTTCCAAATGGCTGGGTGCTAATTCCTACCAGCTCTTTTAACTACTCTAAATTTTCATTGTGGTCACCAGTTCAAATCTGATTTAGAGACAAAAGAAAAACCCTATCACCCGATACTGCAAAGCATAAAAGGATATTTTGAGGCCTCCAAGATTATGTAATTCATACCCATTTCATTAGTTGATCTTCGAAAACTGACCCACTTTCTGCTATCCATCTCTTGGTAACCATAAGAGCAAATGGTGCAGCAACTTTTTTTTTTGAAGCTGGACAGTATGTATTTTAAGGCTAGCCAAAACCCCCATGCATGCAGCAATGAATTCTATTGTTGAAGGAAAATAGGATAATAAAAAAACCAACAAAATAGAAGGTTGCTTTGGGAAGGAAAAATAAAATAAAAATTACAACAAAGGGCATTTCCCATCTTACTACCTCAGGTTATTTCAACTGGACTTATTTTTACATGCAACATGTATACTGCAATATTGAGTGATGATCCTGTCCTCAGAATGTATAGAATGCCATAGAGTACACTTTCATAACTAATGTAAGGACTTAAAGGTTATGGAGTATAACTTATTTGGGCAGTCTTAAGTCCCATTTACTTGCATATTTTGCTTTGGTGCTTTAGATTTGTGATGATGCACTCACTGTCTCTGTTTTCTTCTTGCAGATCCATATTCTGTTGCAGGCAGTGATGGCAGCATCTCTGCCTCAGTGGCCTCAATCCAGCCACAGGCATCTAGCAGCTCAGCTCCCAGTTCCCCTGCTTCCCGACACTCAGTTAGCACCCTCAAGAAATGGCTTACCAACCCTGTGCGCAAGCTAAGTGGTGGTGGGCTACCTCGGGGAGAACGCCCACTCAGGAAAACAGAAGGTCGGACAAGGCGCCATGGGCGCCAGGAGGATTGCAAGAGTATTGACCTCGACCTCCTCAGCCAAGCAGAGGGATCCTTTGCTGTTCCACAGGAGTCAATCGGCACAGTAAGAGCAAAGAAATGCATGCCTGTGCAAACAAAAGCTATTTTGTTCAGTCCCTCATGCAAAGCAGGATTAGACAATCACCAGCCCTCACAGAATAGTCAACATTGAATCCAGGCTAGCTTCATGCAATCCAGATGTCTGTGGCTGAGGATTCTCTAAATTAAGGTCCACACATGTGGAGGGTATCCAAGTCGGGGAGGTTGATTTAGATTGTAAGATATAGAACAAATAGTTCATTTGAGCAGACAAGACATATGCTGTTGAACACCAGCATCATTATGCACATGATACTATGAATCAGAGACAACTGATCACCTATTGCCCGTCAAAGTGAATTAGAAAGAGTCAACTTCAAAATTGCATTGGATGATTGTCCTTTTTAATTTGTCAGTACAATAGCATTAGTTATTCTGATTTGTCTTGTAACGTGTTTTTATATGGAGCCAGTTTTCTAGATGCACCTTGATGCCTTTTTTTGAACTTTACACTTGATTTATAGAAAGGCTTTGATTAAGTGTGTTAATTTTGCTGGTAGAACAAACTGGCAGCTGTATAGAGCATGGCTAGAGATTTGGGATGCTAAAACTGTGTAATGATGTGAGCAATAGTGCTGTTATCTAAAGGAAATTTAAAAGTGGAGGATCAGAAACTTCTGTATATCCATTTATAAACCGGGACATGAAATTGTTTGATACATTTCTCTTATAATTTCAGGATGGCAATACTCATCTACCAGACCTTTCCTTGCTCTCCAACCTGCTAGAAGGAGATGGCTCAAAAACACTCAACCAGGTGGGGAGAGGCAGGAAGAAAAGATGTCTTGTATTAGATGTTGTTCAATGCACATCTTGATGGATGCTGTTATATTTAAGCAGACTTTAAAGAAGAATCAACCATTTTTGTGAAGCAGTGAACACATTTGGAATTTAAAGATTGAGACACTATAAAATGTCTTCTTACTCCTGGAAGCAAATTTGGGAGGGTTTGTTTCACCAACTCTCAGGATATTTTGTTATTTATTTAATTAATTAAATGTATAGGCTTACTTTATATAAATATAAATTTATATATTTTTATCTTTTCTCTGAGAAGATAGGTACAGTTCCCACAACATTAGGATATAGGCTAGAAATCTCCAAAGTTGCACTCATGTGTACTATGTTGCCTACCTTGGTTCAGAAAAATACTTTGACATTGAAGTTAAATATTTGCAGTTCATGCAGTTAGTGTTGCATGAAATGAGATTAGCTGCAGCCAAAGGCGGGCAAAGAATAAAAGTAGCTGGACAATCTTGTGATGACTTCTTTAACTGGTCTCAGTTGTGCTTTACATCCCATTTTCTCTCCTTTTCTTTTTCTTTCCATTCTTGAGCCTATTTTCCCTTTTAAAGAATTATGTCATCTTCATAGAAACCAATCTGTACTATACTTACAGCTCAGATGATACCAACATTCACAAGGAGCTAGGAGAAAAGAAATTATTCTGTGAGAGGAATTTTAAAAGAAAGTAAAATAAAAATGGCAACAACAGGGTGAGGTTAAGGGAATCTTCCAAAATCTCAAAACCACCTAACTTATTAATAAGGTGCTAACTGCTACTAATAACCCTTTCTTGTGAATGTAGGGTTGCTTATCTGCATAGGATAGCTTTATATGTAAGGTCCCAAATTTAATACTTTGTCTTTCCTAAATACAAGATTTAAGAGAAAAACTGATGGAGCTATGGAGAGCTATAGCCATTGTGTTTAAGTAGTACAGGACGGTTGACATCCAACCTTTTGGCTTGCCTGGGCCGCATTGAGTGAAGAATTGTTTTAGGCCACATATAAATATATAATATAGTTAATATATATACAATACATAACAAGCTTCCTTCATTTTTAAATATTTTTATTATGATCTTGTGGGGTCCCATTACTAACTTTCTAGGGTTGCATACAGTCCATGGGTCGCAAGTTGGATATACCTGGTTTAGATCATTGGATTGATTCCACATAAGATAGGTTCTTATGTTCAGATGAAGCCCATTGTTATTCAGATGTTTATGTACAAAAATTTCTGACTACAGTCTATTAATGCTTTGTTGACCAAAACAACAAATTTATTAGCAAATTTCAAGATATATTTGTAATAGGTGTTCATTGATTTATAATCATACCATACAGATTCAAACTTTAAAAGCCATAATACTGTAGTTAGGTAAGGTGGGGAAAGTGTGATGTTTCCATATAAATGTTTCTCTAACAAAAGTGTTATAGAATGAAACAGATTGCACTCAAGAACCACAGAATTCAATAATACTTTCATTGTGAAATTTGGCAGGCATTAAAGAAGGATGAATGTCTAGTTTTTACAAACAACCTCAGTTTTGGAAATTGATGTAAGTCTTATTGAGAAGCAGTTCTTGATTTGCTCAAGATTATATACCTCTTTAATTTTCTTAAAACCGATGACCTGAGAACCAAATCCACGTAAATCAGTTTCACTTTCCGTGTATACTGTATATGAAAAATAAGGCATTTAAATTGGGAGGGCTTTTTTGTTTTGTTTTGTGTGGTTTAAAAAGAAATGGGTTCTGTAACTTTCTTCTCTTTGGCAAAGAATCAGCTACCTGCAAAGCCTCCAATAACTTGGAGCATTAGCGTATTTTCTTTCCCTTTGGGATTTTTGTTATCGCAAAACCTGGAGCAGCTCATGGTAGGTTAGCAATTTGCTTTATTTACCTCATAACGTCTAAAATTTCAGAGGTAAAGAGGTTTCAAATTGCATTTCAGAAGCTGGGAAATCAAAAGGGATGTATGCCCAATGTCAATAGTGTCCAGCATCAAAAACAAGTAATCTGCTCCAAACAGGAAAAGTGAACCTGGATTGGTGATTAATATTCCTTCCTGAGCACCGTCAAACTTCTCATATTCTGAATGAGGTTAGAGGAAATGGGAAACCAAGTAACTCTTCTTGCTTGAGTAAGACATCTTGAGTTGCATTGGATCCCCATCCTGCCTTTTAACGTATTATTGTCTATTGCAAATTTTAACATGAAATGGAATCTTTTTCTCTTCTTTTTTGACAGGGTCCTGAGCCCTCTCTGCTCCCCACAGATCCCAGAACCTCAGCGTCTCCCTTGGAACCTCTTGTGCAGCCCCCAGGCTCTGAGGAGCAGGAAGAGGAGAGGCGTAGTGCCTTAGAAAAGAGTATGTAAGTGATTTTCCTTGGTGCAGTAGCTTACAACCATGATGGGAGAAATGGTCAAAGACAGGACTAGGTGGAAGGCAAATGTAGATGTTGCCCCAAGACCCTTGGGATATTGAAAAGCACGGAGGCACAAACTTAATGTGGGTGAAACAAGAGTTATTTCATAGCTTTTATACTCAGGGCATATCCCACAAGTCCTAAGTGTTCATTCCAAATGTGCTATGACTACATGCTATATAGAATCAATTGTTAATTATGCATCAACATTCCTGTAATACTTCAGGAGAAACTGACTGCAACGGATATTTGCAGCATACTGTACTTGCTTTATCACATCTTAAGCAGCTTGCAAACAAGGTCCTTTCTCTGTGTCATACAAGTCTCTCCTCAGCATAGAGAAGGCTTTAGTGTAGGTCTGTAAATGGCACATGTGTGCAGAATAAGGAGATGGGAGGGATGCCGTGCATAAGAAAAGAGGGAACAGGGCTCACACAATGCATTTCCTTCCCCTTAGACACTGCTGCTTCGTCTTGTCTGCAGGTTTGTTCTCAGGGAGTTGATTGAAACCGAGAAGATGTACGTGGAAGACCTGGGCCAGATTGTGGAGGTGCACACATATACATTACACCTTAGACACTAATTCCCTATCAATCAGCGGGCCATCTCCAGATCTTTTGGGATCTTGGGCAAAATATTTTCCATCTTCCAAAGAGAATAGATTGCTTGAAACTGCCTGTCTTCTTGCTTGACGAGAGCAGAAGAAAAGAAAAATTAATGCTTGATTCTAATCTTCAGTCTGAAGAGCCATTCAAGTACCTATGGACTGACCCAAGGCAATCCTGTATGATTTGGGGAATTTGTTGCCTTGCCACTCAGGACATACAATGCTCCTTTGAGGTTTGAAAACCCCAGTTTCTTATGAAGAGAAGACTTTCCCTTCAATTTTTTTTCTCCTCTAGTCTGTGTCTTGTTTTTTTAAGATGGGCTGCCCATGTCCAGAAGTTCACAGTATATTAAATTTTGACAAATGTTTGTCAAAAGTAGAATCCCAAAGACTCAAAATGACAACTGGTTGCATGCTTTATGGGTACAAAATATTTATTGGCTATTGGGGGAAACATAAAACAGGGTGAGATGTAATATCCTGTAGAGAGCATAGTATTTTACAATACAATATTCTGTTGAATGTCTTAATTGTAAATTTTAACATTGAATCAGCTTGTTCTTTGTGTTTATTTCCATTTTGAACCCTATTTATTTATTTCCACCTCCTATTGCTTGTCTTTCAAACTAGCAACCAGTCCATCCTCTTATGTCTTGACTAGTTGTGTACAAATTGTTTGGCGTTCAACCTCAGCTTGAAAAGCCCTGATTTTAAATTCAAAACTGCCTATTTCAACCCTAACTGTATGTGGGTCAAACGTGAAACAACCTACTTCATTTGGAATTGGAATTAGAATTTAGAAATGGAAATGTTTGCATATATCTCTATATTTGACTGCTGCATATGCAGGGTGAGCAACATTTTTGTAGTCAGGAATTTCACTCATTAAAATCACATTTTTCTGCTAGGCTGGAACTGTTGACTTCTTTTATATCTCTTTTTGAAAATTTGATAAGGTTTTTCTTAAAAGCCAAAATATGTGGGTTCATCCTATTGGAGGCTTGTTTTGAAAGAAATATATTAGAGAAATAGTGCTAATATTAGCCTTTTAGTACTGAATATCAATGATTTTTCATCAGTTTTCAGCAGCAGAGTTGGGGAATCATTTAGGCTGTCCAAAAAAGGAAGTTGAAGGCTGCATGGGAGCTGCTTGTTCACCCCATTATAGCTTTCTGAACAGCTGAGAATACAGTACTCACTGGATCACTTACTGTATCTGCAACTTTATTATTGATGACTCTATGGTACGGTATTTTAAATGGCTGGCAGAGCGGAACCTCCCTTCACAAAAAATCTTCCTTAACAAGGCTTGTGCTTATGCACATTTTTACAATACCAGTTATCTTGAGTTTTCCATCAATGTATCTCAGACAAGCCTGTAATTTCCTGGATGTTGTTTTCTTTTTTCCTTTCCCTCAACCCCAATCCCTTTCTTTTAAAAGTATTGCTAATATATTGGCTACCTTCCAAGTTCTCTGTTAAGAAGTCTGATTTAAGAGATGTTACACATTTTATCTCATGCTTCAGCAGTTCCTCAACTCTTCTTTAAGATCTGTTGAGTGAATGCCACCTGGCTGCAAAGCCCTGATCTGTTTTGGAAAAAAAAATGTATTTATTTTCAATCAATTCTGATTCGGGCATGGGTACACTTTCAGCAACTTTTAAAGTAAAGACCAATGTACAAAATTCATTTGATTCATTTGCCAATTTCCCTGATTCCTATAATGACTCCTTCTATATTGTTATCATATAATGGTTTCATTGCACTTCTGGCTAATTTTCTGCTTCTTATATTTTTAACTTGTATTAAAGTAATACAAGTGATTGTGTGTTTAATATCCTTAAACAAGTGGTCTTTCATTTTCTGGATGTTTAAAATATTTTTCAGATACAATTATTTTGCAAAATGTGCATTCAGTTACACTTTTTCTTGAATTGGGCAGAACCTCCTTTTGTAATAAGAATAATGCTTCCTTTTATACTTTACTGACTTTAATTTTCTGTCTGCTTACTGCTGGTCTGTCTTCTTTCATTCCTCCTCCTCTTCAGCTTGTTACCCATTTTATTTGAACTTCTATTACTACATACCTAAAATGAATTTGTATTTTAAAGTGTCCTCAGTTCATTACTGCCAATGAGTTATTTCTAGCTGAACTCTCACAGTTTTGCAAGAATTCAGATTTTTCAGGTTTATAGTCAAAGCGCTATAGTCAAAGTGGTTTAATGGAAAAGAGAGGGTAGTACAGAAATAATTCCTAAACTTTGGTGAATATCAGGAAATGGAAGAAAAGTTAGTAGTAATGTGTGTTCCTTGCTTGTCAGTCATCCTCATATTTTCTGAGGTCCTTGAAAAAGAGCACCTGTTTGCTTCTTATTGTGCAGTTCAACTGGGTACTTCTTTTCCCAAATTAATAAAAGCGGCTAGCGAGGGAATATAAATCTCTCAACATAGTACAGTACTCCCCAGATATTTTGGTTTTAAACTGCAATAATCTCTTTACTTTGAGATACTGTTAACTGGACTAATGGGAGTTAAAGTCCAAGCAAAATATCACGGATGCAGAATGCCTATCTTACTATGAGGTATAGGCTTACATTCTAGGTAAGGATTTTTGAGTTCGTAATGCTTGGTATAGACTTGGTATTTGTACCATGTTTAAGGTGAACAACTTGATCTTTATTTTAGCAGGTCAATGTATTGTTAACCATTTCTCTCTAAAGGCATCTTACCAGCCCAAAAATCTTCTTCTGTGACATATTTCATTGATGAAATGGACAGACTTTTTTTTTAAGGGAATTGGTTAGCTCTGCTCTCATTGAGGAATCTGTGATGTGTTTCTGAATATCAGGGATTCTCAGGGTTTCCTCAAACCCAGAACACCATAGTTGCTATAAATAAGGTCTTTGCCCATGTACTCCCTTTCTCCCAGTTACCAAGTCAGAGCCCATCACCCCTAATTTCTGTCAGGACAGGAATCCTGTCTTAATTCCTCCTTCAGTCACTTCTTCCATGTTTTAAAGAAGAAGCAAAATAGTTCCTCTAGCCTATTCTTCTGATTTTGCAGGGCTATATGGTGACCATGAATACCCGTGGCATCCCTGAAGGTATGAAGGGCAAGGATAAGATAATCTTTGGGAACATCCACCAGATCTATGACTGGCATAAAGAGTGAGTGAACAAGCAAACAGTCGTTTCTGGGTAGAGCATGGCATGTGGTAACTATACTTCCTGAGAACGGAACTTTCTATGGAAAGGTAGAACTTTCCAATAATTAGGCCAAATTGCTATAATGGGAACTGTATTCCAGTGGCCATATTTGGGAGAAGTCTAGTGTAACTTTGGATTATGACTTGGCAACTGTTTCAAGGGCTAATATTGACTCAGCGATTACCTAACTAGGTTAACGTGGCCAATGTGAAATTAGCAAGATTCGGGACAAGCACTTCAATGGGCCACTATCTTATGGCTGAATGGATTACTGATCCTCTTTCCTTTTTCTTTCGCAAAAGAATCTGGTCCTGAGAAGGACTCCTATTTCTTAGCCTCATTTTGAAAAGCACTTCGATTTAAGTCTGTAATATAAAAGCCAGGGGGGAAAAAATGGGAAGATGGGATAAGGGCACATATCTCATGGATACCATATCTGCTCCCTCTCCTCCCCCAACTGCAGTTATTTACTCAAGCAGCTGGAGAAATGTCTGGAGGACCCCGATCTTCTGGCTGAGCTGTTCATAAAGCACGTGAGTCCCTACAATTGCTATTAGGAGGGTAGAAGAGCTGTCAAAATAGAAGCAGAATGATTAAATGAAATTTCTGAATCGAGGAGCATATAGTTTTAGTTTCTAAAGACTGAGACAAAACAATTATCCTTTTTATCTGCATTAAAAACATTTTCAGAATGGCATTGTCAGAAGCAGAATGCTGACCTAGATGGAGATTTAGTTTGATTGAATCAGCTAATTCCCTCTGGAAAGCATGTCCCGTAGCCCCATTAACTCAGGGATTATGCAAGTTTAAGCATAAAGGAGGAAATCTGTTACTCAGCTTAAAAAAGCTCGATGCTCTAATGATGATGATATTGATCCCTTTTTCTTATCAAGCATTTGTTAGACTGACCTATGGCATATTTGATAGAAGAGATTTTTCATTGTCTTCTAGGAGTATTGGTAATTATTGTCCCACATCTGGTGATAATAGCGTGATAACAGTGCAAATGAAATGAGGTATAGAGTTGCAAAGTGAAATGTTATTTACCTGTGGCACAGATTCCCCCACTTTGTTGGATTTTAAATCTCCTAATCCTCAAGCATCATGATCTTTGGCCATTCAGTTGGTGATTATGAGAGTTACCAATTATATGAAGGTTGGAGAAAGGAACATTCTTCTGATAGAATGAAAGTGGAATTGACTATCCCATGTCAAAGGCTGCATCTGTCCCAGTCAATTCTATGCTGCACAAGACCATTTAATAAAACAATTTCAGTATACAGTAATGAAGAAGTCTGGACACTATAAATTTTAAAAGCACCTTTGAAAACTAGGAACATTGCTGCCTTAGAACGGATAACTTTGTACTTTGTTTTTTTTTTTTTAAAAAAGGATTACATTCTAAATAATATCAAACTCCAAAGAGAGGAGGGATGCTATAGAATCATTCACACCCTGGTTGGATCTTGTTTTCCACAAAATTATTTTGTTGTTGCTCCAGTGAATTTCCATGATCAACCCATAATTGTAAAAGGAAAGTTCGCTAAAATCAGATGTTTTTCCTAGCCTATTTGACTGTAGCAATTCAACAAAATAAGCTCCTGTAATTGAACAAAATTGACTGTAATCATTCAACAAAACAAGCTCTGATCCCAAATAAATGTATGTTATATACGTGTGTGTGTGTGTGTGTGTGTGTGTGTGTGTGTGTGTATGAGATCAGGAAAAAAATATTACGTTTATGTCTTAGTAAGTATGTATATTCAATAGTTACAACCACAAGCTGTGAACTATAAGCTATGAAAATTATACATGCATTTACTTATAATTTGCTAGAAGAAACTAATTCTGAGTCCCCTGAAGCGTAATTGGAAGCATTATAGAAGTAAATGCTGGCTTAAGCATAGATAATGATGAAACAATAAAAATGTCCCAAGGGCAAAGACAGCATGTGCCATAAAATAAGATTTTCATCAGAATTAGTAACTTGTGTAAATTGCTCAGGAGGTTTGGGCCTGGCTCTTTAACATACATGTTGTTAAGTTTTATCCAAAGTGTTCCACTGAATTGTTTTCCTGTTGTATTCTAGGAGCGTCGTTTGCACATGTATGTTGTTTACTGTCAGAACAAACCCAAATCTGAGCATATTGTTTCTGAGTTTATTGACACTTACTTTGAGGTAAGGGGCTATGTGCCTTGACTGCTGCTTTGTTCTTTCTTTCTGCCCTCAGCCTCTGCCACATAACCTGCTTGTGTCTCACGCATCTCCTGCTGGCATAAGGGACCCTTGATCTTGTGCTGTTGTGTGCCCCTTTCTGAGTCAATGCAGATGAACTCCAGGCAACCTCTTTTGGTCCCGTCACCTAGCAGCTCCCTTCTTGAGGAGAAGCATTTGTATGGAGCCAGTGCCACCCAACACATCTGCCTCTTCTTACACACTACCACACATTCATCTAAATGTGGGTAGGCAAAGATTTGTGAAACCCATGGGAATAACTCTGGGCATCTGTTAGCCGTAATTGAGGTGAGAACTCCTGATTGAGGAAGACTTTAAAAGCCATGTACCATCAGAGGTTGCCTGTATTAACTCTTTAAATTGGCATAAGGAGTAGATGAGCAGCTGGTTGACTGGCCGCAGGCTACAGAATTGTCTTTTCTCTCAGAAATGCCTTTCCTTGAGCTAAGTGGGAAAGAAAGGTATTTTGAAAGAATGATGAATTTGCTATCCCTGGGGCCCTTCTGCTCAGAGATAAAGAATAATAGACTGCAAATGTTCTTCTATGCTAAGTTCCATTCTAAATATGTAAATGTGTGAAGAAGCTGCTTTTAAATGTTAGCTTTTTTTGGGGGGGGGGGTCCCATCTTGCTTTCCCAAGTCTCTAAAACTAGTCTTTCCCTTGCAGGTGTCCTTTTAAAGCATGTCACATTTTGTGTGGTATCTGTATAGCATGCACAGTCAATCTCCCACACATTTTTTACAGACTTGGCTGTACATCATTTTCTCTTTTCCAGGAACTGAAGCAGGAGTTGGGGCATCGCCTGCAGCTCAATGATTTACTTATCAAGCCTGTACAGCGGATCATGAAATACCAACTGCTGCTCAAGGTGCTGAAGCAGAAAGTGGATTGTTGCTCTCCAAAGCTAAGGCAAAAAGATTGATCTCCAAAGGTCCCCAAATCTGAAGGCAATTCCAGCAGGGAAGAATCTGTACACGTATTTCCTGCTGATCTTTAAAGAGCAAGCTTCCCATGCCTGTTATTCTCCAGATGGCTGAAACTCCAATTGCCTTAACTCCCATTAATTACACGAATGCCCATCTGGAGAATACCAGGTTGGAGGTGGCTGCTGTAGAATTCAGAGGAAAGCAGTTGGTGAAAAGGGATTCCTAATAGCATCTGGGTTTTCTCTAGGGCAGTAGGCCAGTGAAATGTCACAAAAGGAGTGGCCACTCCAACTGGTGGTGTTCTGTCACCCCCTACTGGACATTAATTCTATCTAGTCTTCAGAGTGAGAACAATAATTCAGGCTGAGGGCAATTTCACACTGTAGTCTAAGCCACTTGTTTCTTATGCCAGCTTCAGACAGTCTACTCTAGACCAGGGTTTTTCAACCTTCTCACCCATTGTACCACTTTTAGCATATGGCAACATCCGAGTACCACCAGTCGCCTAGCAAGATGTCAAAAACTGGAGATGCTGCAACATTCCAGCTGATTGGTGCTTCTTCAGGGCTCAGCAGAAGCGCCAGGATCAGCGCTGAGCTCCAGCTGGAGCCTGGCGCTGATCCTGGTGCTTCCGCTGAGCCCTGACAGCCCTGCAGCTCCAACCATCTCTCGGTCAGGCTTGTGCGGTGCTGCCACCGGTTCAGCTCATTCCCCTCCCCCGCTACCACTTTTCTAGGATGGTCGCGTACCACCTGCCAGGTGCCAATGTACCACAGGTGGTACCCGTACCACTGGTTGAAAAGCCCTGCTCTAGACAAGGGCCGCTCCAAGTTCCAATTGGTCTTTTTGTTTTAGATTTTTTTTTAATCCCACCTTTATTATTTTTGCAAGTAACTCAAAGCAGCCAACATACTTAATACAGCACTCCTTCCTCCTCCTATTTTTCCCACAACAACTCCTCTATGTGGTGGGTTGGGCTGAAAGAGAGTGACTGGCTCAAAGTCACTCAGCTCACTTTCATGCCTTAAGATGGGACTCCTTCTATGAGGAAGATGCGTGGTTTAAAAATGTAATAAATTAAGTCACCATCTTCTGCTTTGTTGGTTGGATCCTGTGAGTACTACTGTACTAGTGTCTGCCTTTTCGTTTTAGAGATTGCTTCCTTATGCCTTGCCTTTGCTTCCTCAGAGGTTTACATGCATAGATGCCTTCACCTTTCCCTTATCACATTATTTCCTTTGACACTAAATACAGATGTTATGATATCTTTACCGCTCCAATGATACAATCATCAACGCAATAGGGAAAAGGGTTGTTTGCATCTACATTTCTCTACAGGACTATGGAATCTGCAGCAAGGAAGAACTGATTGTTCAGCTTCACAGAAGTAAAATAGCAATGTTTCTACATTGCATGTAAAGATGATCAAATGAAATGAAAGGCAGGGAAGGGAAGGGAAGAGAAGGGAAAGCTCGGATGCTGGAATACTAAGGGCAGGACCCCCCAGTGGAGGAGAGGCAGTGTACCAGGCACCAGAGTCAATCAGAATTGCTCTTAGAACAAAATGGAGCATGGAGACTATCTTCTCCAAAGAACCCAGGATGGCTTGAGTTTGAAAACAGCAGTTTTGAATTGAAGACGGAAAACTTGAGAGTGGGGTGCATTTGGAATGGAATCGGAGTGGAAGGAAGACATTCAGGAGTGCATTCAGAAAGTAATGAGTGGCCTGCACTAGTGATGGGCCAAACAGAAAGTATGCCCAGTTCAGACATTAATGGCAACAAATTTGAATTTGTCATCCTGTCTACGTTTTTTTACATCAACTGTCTCTTGACTTTTTCCACCATTTTTAATCCTCCTCCTCCTCCTCCTCCTCCTCCTCCTCCTCCTCCTCCTCCTTCGATGGCCTCAACCATTGTTGATGGTGTTGTAATGTATCTTTGATGTTGTCTGTCCATCTTCTTCTGGGTCAACCTCATGTTCTTCGGCCTTCTCCTCTTTTTGTATATGCCATATTTCCAATTCCCTGAATACTAAGGCCTTTAAAGGATAGCACTGTTGGCTTTTGTTTCCTTTGGATAAAGAGAGCCCTGGATGTTTTCTGTTTTTGGAATGGTGTGTTATATACACAAATACAGGCAACACAACTTAGAAGCCAGATAAGCAGATATCCATCTGAGCCAGATTCCCATAGAGGAATTATTACAACATTATTGCTCTTCCTCTTGCTCTGTTGTTCCAACTAAAAGCTGCTTTGGGCCCATTTTTTGTTAGGTACTGCTGTCAACCCTATACCTACCCCACTGAGTTATCCTAGAAGCATTAATGTTCTTTTTTTTCTACTTAGAAGAAAAGTCACTCACCAATTTCCCCAAGAGTTCAGTTAAACTGAAAGCCAGCACGTAATTTTGTTGAAGCAAGATTGCTTCTGTTGCCTCTGGTACTATAATAAACAAAGCTAGAAAGGGGTAGGGATACAATTCCTCTAAACAAAGGAGTTAATTATGCAAATTAGAATGTAGATGTGATTGGATATAACAGTACACGTGCATTTGTTTGGGTGTAGCAATACATGATGTGTTTGGAGAGGTCAATTGTGAGCTAGATTCTATTAGGTCAGTGGTGGCGAACCTTTGGCACGGGTGCCAGAGGCGGCACTCAGAGCCCTCTCTGTGGGCACGCGCGCCGTCGCCCCAGTCCTAGGCCTTCAGCTGGGTTTTATAAAACCTTTTTGCTTTAGGCCTCCGCCGCTGTGTACAAAAAAAGGTTCAATCAATCAATTTCAACTTCTCGCGGGAAAAAAAAAGATCTTGTAAAATTGGAATTAATTGATTGAACTTTTTAGTCCCACCCAGTCTGCTGTTACCACTGCAGCCATGCCCACCCAGTGGCCACACCCACCCAGTGGGCCACACCCACCCAATGGGCCACACCAACCGACGATGCATAAGTGGGTTTTGGGTTGCAGTTTGGGCACTCAGTCTCTAAAAGGTTCGCCATCACTGTATTAGGTAATGGGAGCAGTACTATAAAGACAATGATGTATTTGAGAAAACAAAGAGACAGTATTTCAGGAAGGGAACTTCTTTTATGTACGGTATTTATTTTCTAATGGTTTTACTTCCCTGAGCCTTTTTCATCTTTTAGTATCTTCTAAATCTATTGATATCACTCAGGTTTTTGAGTATTTTATGGCAAAGCTAATAGGTTTTAGTGTTTCCCAGGACCCTGGGAACATAATTTAGAGAGGGGGAATGCTCTGAAAGAATTATATTTTCTCTTACATTAGTCCAATAGTGGGTTTAATTATAGACAAGCTTGCATTTTTTTTAAAAAAATATTGTTCATCTTTAGAATTTTAATTTCAGGTGTTCTCAAGATTAATATAGTTTAATGTGTTTTGTCAAGATATTCACAATGTGATGAGTGTGATTATGATTTGAAAAACTGGCAGATGTAAAAAAAAATCCTCAATATTTTTGCTCCAAATGGCGTTACCTCTGCACAGTACGTGAATGTACACAAATGTTCATGTAGCTGATTTAAAAGTTGGGAAATTGATCCAGTTATAGATTCCTGCCTAATGGGAATGTTGGCCTTTATGCAAACAAAATATACAGCGGTGAGGTTTTGTAATGGCTCTGCTGCTGCCAACCATCTTCGGATGGGATACAATTTAGTTCTAAATCATGACTCACCTCTTCTCCAAGGAGATTGGAGTTTATATCACTCTTGCCTCATTTGGTAGCCTTCAAATGTGTTGGATTGTAAGCTTTCATCAGTGGTCATGCTGCGAGAGGATTGTGGGTTTAGTAGATGCTGAGTGCAAAACAGTCAAGAGTTATATTCCCAACGTATTTGAAGGGGACACCAAATTGGGGTAAGCTGATGTAGGTAAGTCATAGAACAATGGTAACTAGGTAATGGTAACAATGGTAACTATAGAACAATGGTAACAATGGATGGAACTCATGAGCAACTAGCTCGTGTTACTCTCTTTCTCTCCCTTATAAAAACACTTATTCTTCCCCTCTTTTCTTTCTCTTGCTCTCTCCAGGATTTCCTGAAGTATTATAGCAAAGCTGGGAAGGACACGGAACAGCTGGAGGTAGGAGTTGAAACCAATGGGAGCTATCATAGAGCCACTGTTCCTATATAAATAATCTTGATATTACACTATTGCTTTTGAATGAAAAAGTACAGTCGCATGGGTCAATTGGAATATCATGTGGATTGGCTGGAATACCATCCAGCATTTACAAGATTGACAGTTGTGAGAAGATTGGCAGATGGGGAATCCACATCCTATATCAGTTATTGTATATTTGATATACTGTATCTTCAGATCTCAGGCCAGTGAAGCCTTCTATATGATTAGCAGATCTTATTTTGTGATTTCTCCTCAATTTACCCTCGCCTTTTGTAGTTTAAGATGTAGAATAAAAGGTTATTATGGCTCATTGATGAGCCCTGAAATTGATATATCCAGTGGCATCAGTCTTGGAGAATCCAGTACATCTTCTGTAGCCTCATTCTCTACATTTGAATTTCAGAAAGCTGTAGACGTTATGTGCTTTGTTCCCAAACGCTGCAATGACATGATGAATGTGGGACGTCTTCAAGGCTTTGAGGTAAATTCTGAGGATCAGTGTCTGGTTGGAGATTCTTAGTTCTGATTTTTCTGATTAGCTAGCTCAGTATAGTAGACAGCATTGAAACAATTCTCTTCTTCCACCGCCCCCCCCCCCCATCATCACTCCAGTCTTACATGATAGGAAGGCTGTACATCTTCAAGGAAGGGTCTTAATTGGTTATTTCTGAAGAATCTCAACTTCAATACCGATTTACTTGGGAATGTGAGCCTAAAATATAGGATATCACATGGGTGGGGGTGGGAGGGAGGTGAGGGCAAGATTTAGGAACGTTTTGGCCAGAAGGAAGATTTAAGATAGACGTTTTGAAATGCTTGATGGTGCAGTTGTTGAAACTACCACTTCAACTATAGTGGCATGTGTGAATGCTGTCCCAAGCTACATTTTGGAAAATTGTTGACAGGGAAAGCTTCCATTTTGGTGGGAAAGAACCTTTGACATGGAGCAGCATTAAAAGGGTGTGCTAGGCCATACTAACCTTCAGCTCTCAGAGTAGGGTAATTTTATGCCGTTTAAACAGGTGAATAAATTGCAGGTTACTTTTTTTCTTTAGGGGAAGCTGACTTCTCAAGGGAAACTGCTGCAGCAGAACACTTTTTTGGTGATAGAGCAGGCAGGCGGGATCCTGGCCCGGGCTCGTGAGCGCCGCATCTTTCTCTTTGAGCAAATTGTCATCCTAAGTGAGACCCTGGAGCGAAGGCGTGGCCCATATGCTGCCCCAACATATGCCTTTAAGAGCAGCATCAAGGTATTCCAGAGTTAACCGTGGGGAACTGAGCTACATTTAAGCATCTGGCACTTACTCATAAGGGACTTTACAGTGGAAATGTTCCATATCCAAAGTTAGGTGTCCCATCTTTCTACAGGGGCCTTGTCTGTTTGTATACTGTAATATCACATAGTAAATTTGGTATGCTGTTTGATAGATGCAGATATCTGGACTTACAGCTGCAATTTGAAAATATGTGGATAATACTAGTAGTAAACAGTGCAGCAGATCTAATGGAAAAAAGTAATATTTGTTTGATTTCCATGCCTTACGCCAATCAATGAATGTAGCTTCTGTTTGCATCAGGATACAACCATATAACCAAAAAGCCATAACAATTTCTGTATTGGCAGCCAAAAAATAAAAGATGATGTTGAGACTGGGGTTGTAATACTGTACTTTAAAACACTTGCAATATATCACTGTATGGCACATGTTTTATGTTTTATGAATTGGAATAAGCTAAATCTAAATCTTCTCTCAGAAAAATAAGTAAAGACTTGTATTTACTTGATTGCTGAATCTCTTCCTCTCTCTGAGTGCCTATTTTATTAATATAATTTTCTTGCTTTTTAGCACTGTTGCCTGGGAAAAGATACCATACTCATGTGGTCTGGATTAATCCTGGGCCAATTTCACTTTATTGTCTTTATTTAATCTAGTGTATAGTCGGTCTCAGTTGCAGTCACAACTCTAGGTTGATCCATTATCCATTTCTCTTCCAGGTAAGCTCTTTGAGTCTGGAGCCTTGTGTGGACAATGATCCCTGCAAATTTGCACTGATCTTTCGTGGCGCAGAACGGGGCACCATCCGTTATGTACTGCAGGCAGCAACACCGGAGATTGCCCAGGCCTGGGTGACTGACATTAACCTCATCTTGGAAACACAACGTGACTTCCTTAATGGTAGGAGTAAAAACAGCTGCCTACCAATTTTGGCCATTCAAATCATTCAATTGGAAACTGCCTTTTAAACTTTGCCCAATCTTCCTCCATGGCTTCAGTATTTCTTACATCATATTCTCAGCTCATCATGTAGACTGGATAGGATGATAACTATGAAATTTCCACACTGCTTTGTGGAAATATGGGAAACAGTAGTTCATAGATAAGAAGGAAAATTTCAAATTGTAATTTGAGTTAGAGGCTTTAAAATAATATAGTAAGTTTTGGCTTTTGCGGATTTTGATGTATTTTGGATTAAACACCTGGAGACTAAAATATATGAATAACGGTTGCAGGATTTGGGTTTGGCTAGTCTAAACAAAAGAAAGACATGATAGGAGTATTCCAGTATTTGAGGGGCTGCCACAAAGAGGAGAGGGTCAACTTATTTTCCAAAGCACCAGAGGGCAGGACAAGAAACAATGGATGGAAACTAATCAGAGAAGCAACCTGGAATTGAGGATAAACTTCCTAACAGTGAGGACAATTAACCAGAGGAACAGCTTGCCTTCAGAAGTTGTGGGTGCTTCATCACTGGAGGTTTTTAAGAAGAGACTGGACAGTCACTTGTCTGAAATGATATAAGGTCTTCTACTTGAGCAGGGGGTTGAACTAGAAGACCTCCAAGGTCCCTTCCAGCTCTATTCTGATTAACTGATCTTGTATTTCACCAAGTCTCATATTTTTGATCCAGGTACTGTTTCATCAGTGAAGGAACTGTTTAATTCTCCCCTTATTAATTATTTTGCTTTTTTGTTATTCTTGACCTTCAATGTCATATATATCAGTTTCTTATCTCAATTTTGCAGCTTTTTTTCTTTGCCACAGGAGTACCTAGGTTGATCACTGTAGGCAGAAATTGGGCTTATTTCTCAGGGAATCCTTCTAATAGGCAAGGAACCAGAGCAACAGTTCCATCTCAGCTTGCTGCCTGCATGCTGGTTTTCTACTCCTAGGAAAGTTTTTGTTATTCACAGATGTGATTCCCACTTGTCAATTCATCTATAATTTTCATTCTAATAAGACCAGGTCTTAATGAAAGTGAACAAAGAAGCATATAACATGTCTCACAAGGGGGTGCTTTGATTTGTGCAGATCAAACACAGTACAAAACACATCTGAAGGAAGGGAGCCCCAGAATCCCAAATGGAGGTCGTTCTACTCATTACATAGAACGTGGAGGCAAAACCTGCAAGTTTGCTTATGCTGCCTTTTCAATACTTCCAATTTTTTAGTTGGAATATTTACTTTAATTTTAAAATTTAGAAATTATCTGAGTCCACAAGACAGTAGGCAACTAACAACTTTTAACAACAAGAATGATAAAGAAGCAAAAATCATTGACATACAAACAAACAATTCATAACCAATGACAAATCCTACAAAGGCTTGATACTATCCCTATTTCAAGGCCTGGGGAAACAGCCTGGTTTTCTTGCTCCTGTCAATATTGACTGGAACCAACCACAAGAAAGAAGAACCTCTAAACATGGTATCATGATATCAAAATCACTGACAGACCAAGGAGCAGATGCTTGCTTAGCAAGGCCTGAGCCATCTTAAACAGAGCCATTGGGAGGCTAATGATATATGCAATAAATGTGAAGAAGTAATACCATTATGCTATCCTTATGCTTCATCAGATTATAATAAAACTAGCACAATAAAGAAGTAATCTTATATTAAGCTCCGTAGTGCCATTGTTATTAGGTATTTTTCCCCCAAAAAAATCAGGAAACATTGTGCTAATAAGCACAGATATATATGTCTGAACAAAAACAATTTATATCTTTATAAATTGTTTATAAATCTTCCTGGTCATATGATATAGTTAACATTTCAGTTGTTTATAAAAAAATTGGCCTTCTGAATAAATGAGAGCCAGAATATAACAGCACTTCCCTAAATATTACACTGCCATGAAAATAGTTGATAAAGAGAGCATTTCAGTATAATGAATCCCCTATCATTTTGGATTGGTGACAGCAAGTGTTTAAAGTACATTTATTTATTTCCAAATTAAATTTGCTACTTCTAATCAAATAAACCTGGTTTCAGCACATGAAGCCACAGCAGTATAATATGGATTCCCAAAGGAGTTTATTTGTTTATCTATTTATCTATTTATTTATTCAACTTGTATACTGCCAAATCAATTTATTTGACTAAAAAGGTTTAAGAAAAAGCGAGGCAGGAATGAAGAAAATCTGAGGAAAAAGTTAGTTTTAAAGAATAGCACAGAAAATTAGAAACCACAGAGAAAACAGGTGCGTAGAAAAAAGAAGAAAATTAATACAATAGCACTTAGATTTATATGTATACAGCTTCATAGTGCTTTACAGCCCTCTATAAGCGGGGGCCCTCATTTTACCGACCTCGGAAAGATGGAAGGCTGAATAAACTTTGAGTCGGTCAGGATTGAACTCCTGGCAGTGGGCAGAGTTAGCCTTCAATACTACATTCTAACCACTATGCCACCACAGCTTTTTGATTTAACAAAAATTAATTCCAGTTCCTGGACAATAAACAAAGCTAGCTTTTTTTTTAAATGTGAGGACAAATGGTTTTATGTTATAAAACCAGCATGAAAGGTATGAGACTGTTACTGACTAAAAAAAGAGTAGTTAAAGAAATGAAATATTACAAATATTTTCAGGGAACAACAGGTTGAGGAAATAAAAGCTGAAAGAAAAGAGAATAAAACAAAAAAAATTCAAATGGCTTTGAGATATAGAGGCTCACCATTATGAAAAGGAAATATTGCAAGTTAAACTTCAACTGAATGATACCATTAGGTTTTATCATGTATGGTTGTGGAAGATCCTAATCCATACATCTTTCTGTTGGTTTTTAATGGAACTTAAGAAACAAGAACTTAATGATATTCATACTATGCTTGATTTGAGGAGAGCTGGCAGATATATACAACAACTTTTCTGAAGAACAAGTGCTTTGAATGTCTTTAAACCAACTATGTATAAGAGGTTTACATTTTTTTCAGCAACTTTAAATACACAATAGTTGCAGAAGAGTTACATAGAGGACAGGTTATAACTGTGGTAAGAAAAGGATCATGTGAAGACTATTATTTTAGGTAGCCCATTCTGGCCAAAAAAAGGGAAAAGAGTACAATTGAAGTATGCAAATATGGGCTTTTAATTATGAAATGTGATGGAATTGACAAATAAGAGAATCCCAATTTGAGGAAATGATAAACATATCTGCCTCCTTGTCTGCTTTATATAGAAAATCAGTGGATAGAAAAAATATCTGTATTGACAGACAAATTAGGAAACTAAAACCCTTTTGTATCACCAGTGGCAAATCTCTCAGTGAATGGAGAGGAAAAGGAGGGTTGCTTGAAAGAACTATAATACAGTACAGCATCAATTTGTACCATTTATTATAGAAGGGTTACTGTGGGTCCCAATACAAATCCTTACCAGGAGACAAATCCTTACCAGGCATTATTAGGTTGGATAACTATATTCTTGATCATTGTATCCCTGATTCAGAGCATGGCCTGAAGCTAAAGAAAAGGTAGGTTGTCTAAAAGGAATCAATTAAAAAAAAAAAGAAACTGAGGAAAAAACTGTTATTAAGAAAAAAGTAGCTGTCAACGGGATACTTGGGGGAAAAGAAATACTTGTGGTTTTGGTTGCTGCAGAACATGCAGACCTAATTCAGTAGCAGAGGTATTAATAAAAGCTGTGGTTGAGGCAGGAGAAGAAAAACATTATACTCAACAATTTCTGCTGTTAAAAAAATGGAACGCCCTGCTGAAAAGGCAAACCAGCCAGCCACAGTTG